CGGGTTTTATCAACCCCAGCAGCAGCAGCACCAGCCCCAGGCAGGCGGGTTTGCAGCAGGAGGAGCAGCAGCAGGGGGAGCAGGAGCAGGGGGAGCAGGAGCAGCAGGAGCAGGAGCCGCAGGAGGAGGGCCTGGGGCAACTGGACCCGGGATGGGTGGACCTATGGGGGGCGGAATGGGGGGAAACATGGGGGGAGGCATGGGCTATGCCCCCCCCAGGGGTCCGCCTACGGGGCAGCCGCCTTTCACCCCTCCCGCTGGAGCTCCCCCTCCCTACATGCCCGGCCGGCCCCCCATGCCAGGTAGCGGTTTCGGTGGTAACCAGTTCGCACCTCCCCCTCAGTGGGGGCCTGGGACCCCCCTGGGGTTCGGGGGACCTGGTGCTCCCCGCCCTGCCTGGGGGCCTGGGGGAATGGGGAGACCGGGGGGACCGGGGGGAATGGGGGGAATGGGGGGAATGGGGGGACCTAGGGGGCCTGGGGGAGCTTCCTCTTCCCCCTTTGGCCCTGGTGGCGCTCCTGGGTTTGGGCTAGGGGGTCCGCCTCCCCCCTTCCCTGGGGCTATGGGGGCGCCCAGGTTCCCTGGTCCGGGTGGTTACCAGCCGGGTGGTCCGGGTTTCGGGGGTGCTAGGCCCCCTGCTGCTCCCCCTGCGACTGGAGGAGGACAGGGTGAAGAAGATGCCGAGTATGAGAAGCTGATGGCATCGATTGGGGTGCAGTAGAGTGGAAGGAGAGTACAGTATCAGTCACAGGGATGTTACAGGGGTGTTTACAGGGGTGTGTACGAGAGGCTGGGGTGGTAGAGGAGCGTGATGTGCGTGCTGTGACCAACCTGTGTGGGTGGGGGGGCAGGGGGAGGAGGAAGCTTCGGAGTGTGAGAAGCTGATGGAGTCAAATGGTGTGCTGTAGAGGAGAGGACTGGCTGAAAGGGAGGTAACAGTTGCAGGGGTGTTCCGGAGGTTGCAGGGTGGGGAGGAGTGGCTGTGGTGGCAGAGGGGTGTAGATGGGTGTTGCTATCTGTGACCAACCCCTGTGAGCAGGCAGGGGGAAACGGTTGATTTGGAGAATTTGTTGGTCTGATTTCCGTGTGGAGCTAGGTTTTCCTGTCTAACTCCTGCCCTGACGCTCCCTCTCCCCCTCCCCCCTCTCCTCCCTCGTTCCCGCCTCTCCTCCCCTCCACCTCCCCTTCCCCCCCTTCTTCCTTCCCCCCCCCCCGTGTCGCACTCTTTTCTGGTTTATGGGATTCACAACTTACGTTGACGGTGGGTAAACATGTGGTGTTATGACTTCTTAGGAAGGGCATGGATGCGCTGTTATGATAAAATGTTCAAGATGCAATTCTTCTGCCTATATTGCTTGATGCTGTGAGCCTCCACCCGAACTAATTATTGTAGTACAGTAACCCTCCGTGCGTTTGCATGAATGGCATGGGCTTTGTGCATTATTAGACTCGCCCGTGACGAGTTGGATTGATGTGCCCATGATCTCATGCGTGAGACCTCCGCTTGTCCAGTCATCAAAATTCTTGCAGATCTCCAGTACGCCAGCTATCGTGCATAGTTGCCAGGTGTGCATACATGTTTGGCGGCTGGATTTTGCAATTCCACGAACCTTGGGCGGAATGACTGTGGCATTGCCAAGTTGGCAGTCACAGTGATTGGGCGGGGATGCGGGGAAGGCCCACCACATCCCAACAGTGTCGGGCTTTCACTGTGTTCTTTCGCTTCTTTCGCTCGCCGAAGCAGAATCGGTCTTTTGTGCTTGCAAGCGATGTGAGCGAATGTTGGCGGCAGATCAAAGCTCGTAACCGTGCTCACCCCAGCAGATCGTGGCAGCAAGTACAGCTGTTCTTGTTTATAGTCCGACGGATCAACATCGCCGCGCGCGGACTATGTGGCAAACCCTTCAAACCCGAGGCAAAACGCGATACTTATAGTCCCGTTCAGGAAAATTGCATGAAGAGTGGTTGCTTTGCTACTAGTTTCTGGAGTTTGGCATTTACGTAGATTTGGACCGCGCTTGCTTCAGCTTCCAGTCGCACGGTTTTCCACGCTGATCAATGTCGCATGACTAACGGTCAAAACAAAAGAAAGTCAACTATGGTTTGGGGGTCGAATAGTAACCCAAAAACCTCGTTTCTACCCTGTAAGCGAGATAAATGAGATGTCATCGTCGATCGCGCTGGAGACAGCGCGACAGGATTGAGAATTAGTCCCGGTCAAGAGAAACGGTTAATTACAACTAAAAAGTTAAGATATCGAATCTATGATCCCTTCTTTATCGTTTTCTTTGAATGTTGGGCTGGTTTGGTCAGGAGCCTCTGATTGGTTGCGGAGCTGATTCGTGCAATGATTCGGTCAAGCTGCAAAATTTCCCGCCAAAAACGGGACTATAGGGGTCGGGCCAACCGTAGGCGATATCGGAAAATTCTACTAGGGGGGAAAAGGGACTCTCTCAACGAGGGCCTCTAACCCCGAACATCTGTACCAGGGTTGAGAGTAGGGGCGCTTGCGCCCTGAGCACGAAATGTTCTTCTGCTAGGGTTGAGGACGCGGTGAAAGTGCTCGGTCGGGGGTTGATCGATTCGGTCACCGTACTGAACCCTGCATTTTGGACAAGAAAGGTACACAACCTTTTATAACCGCGCTATAAAACGATCCTTTGGCGATCGATTCTCCACTTGCACCGCGTCCTGAGTTGAGAGGGGGCCCTTGTGCCTTGAGTACGAAATGTCCCTTCTGCGAATCTCTTGAGTTTCGGAGACTCCGGGTCGCAGGAGAAAGAATCGCATCCCATGTTCCTGGGCAGGTTGAAACCTCACCTGAATAACTGTCGCTTGCGCGAAGAATGTTGTATCCAATCAGAGGGCAAGCGATGTCAAATTTGAAATGCCTCCAATCACGCTCCGTGTTGCCCTGCCAGGGTCGTATCGCTGTCTCCCCTCGCCAGTCCGAATCGCTGTTCTAGTCTACAGTGGGTGTACATGTACAGTATTGGAGAATGCCCTTGACTTGTGTGGTCAGTATGATTAACCACGTTCACTGAATACCAGATGCCAGAATTGCAAGGCTCTGTAAACTACATAGCCTGTTTTTTGTGAGGGATATTGGATAGTGACCCTCCAAATAACCAATCTGTGGGGGAGATCTGATAACTAACATGATTCGCAACCACAGTCGACACTATACACTGTCTCCTTTTGCCGGGGTTCGTTTCAGAATTCTCCCTCCCTAAGTAGACCACTCTATTTTGGAATGACAGTGACTGGAGAAGTCGACAAACTACTAAATGCCACTGGCGTGTTCCCTTTAGAGTGGGTTGGCGGATGGGGGAGGAGGGCAGGAACAATATCCCCACGTTTGGCTGCGTTCGAACTGAAAATATCTTCAGGGGAACGTCTCCACTTATCTCACACAACCAGTGACCTTATTTAGTAGTTCCTCTTCACACCCTCTCATCCGCCCAACTTTCTCAATCTCAAGTGCAGGGTTGCTGCTGGGTTCGAAGGGAGCATGTCCGAATCCTGCAGAAACAAATACACTGCTAAAATACAGACGTAGTGCAGAGAAAGCCTCTGAAAATTGTTGACTACGCCGCCGGAAACACACTACGGTGCAGGGTGAACCTAGATTACCACTCTGTTTCCGCAAGTCCCCCAAAACAAATCATGGTTCAAAACACTCTGCTGCTGACCCCCCTGGCTAGCAGTCTGTCCGAACGGGATGAGAGGCTTCCTCTCTTCCTTCCCCACCTTCCCCCGTTCCTTCGATCTTCCCCCATCCCTAAACATTCCCCCCCTCCCCTTCCGCTGAACTGTACTCCCCCCACACCTCCTCCTCCGCTCCCCCTCCGTTGTTTCCCAAACTTCCCTCGCTTTTCCCCTCCTTCCCTGTCCCCCTCCCTTTTTCCCCCAACCAATCCGCCAGCACATTTCACACAGTGTCTCCGCTTCGCGTTCAAGCGCGACTGTATTCCGCCTTCCCCTTCCTGCCCGCCAACGTCTCCCTCCAAGAAGTGACTCGCAACACTGGCAGCCACCCACTCACCTGCTCTGCCTGCTCGCCTCGTCTTGTTGTCACGTCACTCTAGCTTTCACCACTTTCGTTTGCGCCTGCTCCCGCGCGCGCCTGTCAAGAAGCACCCTCCTGCCTACAGCTTTCTGCCGCCTTCATGCTCCTCCTCTCCCCTCCTCCCCTCATCCTTCCCTCCTCCTCCCTCGCTCGTTCCTCGGGCCTGCATCAACAACACTCTCCGCTCCAACATCCGCCGAACGAAACCTGTTGACCGTCGCAGTGATAATTTCAGGTGAAGTAGAAAGAAAACACACGAGGCGAGACGAGACATTACAGACAGACAGCATCAAAGCATCACAGAACATCACGTGGGACAGAACGAGACATCCGAGAGACGTATGAGACAGGCCGGATTCTTGCTCCCTCACATCACGGCCCTAATTCTGCATCGCAGCGGTTTAGTGGAAAACTGTATTTCTGCTTCCATTTGACCGTCAGTCAAGGGCACGGTAGGGACTCTGTCATTTCGCTGCTTCCCTCCTCCTGAGCTTGGACCTGCGGCGCAATTAAATCAGCGCTCTAGTAAATAGATCCGTTGGTAGATTCTCCGCCGACATTCCCTCTTAGGTCAAAATTGCGCAGTCCCATAGGAGCGAGCGCGCGGAAACAGAATTGCGCGGAGGCGGAACGTTGCGAAGGCGAAATTGCGCGCCGAAAGATTGAGCGGGAAGACCAGCAGTAGCGCGGAGCCTGGACAGCGCGCGGAGATTGCGTAGCGCGGAACTTGGGTAGCGCGGCGGCGCGAGCGAGCAATGTGCGTTTCTCTAGGCGGCTCAAGAATAGCTCTCGTGGATTCGCGATTGGCAATTTGCGCGGCGCGGAGGTAGGCGGAGCGCACCAGGCGTGTCTTAGATTAGCAGCGAAGGGGGGATTAGAAGGGAGCATAACATATATTCAGTAGGCGACGCGAGAAAAAATTGGCGGTACAATGGCCGGCGCGGGGACGGGAGCAATTTTCGCTCGAGAGGGAATGCACGCGGAGGGGATTCCGGGGACGGAATTGCGCGCGCATGGGAGGATGGTTGGCGCAGAAGGATTGGGGGAATTTCCGCCGGTTGCGGAAGCCCGCGCGGGGGGCGGGGGGGCCGCGGGGAGCGAGTGGTCCGCGGAGAAATACCGCGACTTCGTGGAGAGTATCGTGGAGGAGAGCGCGCGAATGGCGGAGCAGCAGCGCGGGGAGGGCGGAAATTTGGGGAGCGGGAATTCGCAGCAACATCATCAAAGAACGCAACACATGCAAGGTCAAAGCAGGCCGCGCAAACAACGGGCGGGAGGCGGAGGGGTAATCAACGGAAGGAGCGCAACAGGGGGGGCGCATGTTGCCGCTGCTCCGTCGGGCGCGAACGGCGAAACTGGTAACGGCGATTCTTCGCAGGCTGCTGCGCTGGCTTCGGTGTTACAGTTTTTCGCGGACTCGTTGGCGCAACACGAGGGGGGCACGGCGGAGATTCCGCCGTCTCCGTCAAGCAGCGCGCAGGCGAAAGCGCGCTCGCCGCGCGCCACGTCAGATCCCGCGGGATGCGCGGCTCCGCAGGACCGTGGAGGCGCAAGCGGCGGCGGAAATTGCGCCGCGAACGGCGCTGGTGGTGCGGAATGCGCGAGCGCGTTGAGCGCGGATGCGACAGGCGGCGCGGCGGATGCAGCGCGGGCAGCGGAGAATTCGTTTGGCGGAAGTAAACCCGACGAAATGCGCGACGGAAGCGCGGAGTTATTCGACTTCGGAAATTTTCGTATGGGCAGACAAGAATCCGATCCGGGCAGGGGCGGCGGAACTTCGGGTGGAGCGCTATTGGGCGGAAATGGTCGCGGGGAAAAGGGACCGAAGTAAAACGGGCAGAAGAAGGGGCAGGCGGGTAGAGGAGTGCAGAGGAAACAACAGCAGCCGCCGCCGCCGCAGCAGCAGCAGCTTAACTGGAATTCGCCGAACCAATTTGCACCTTCACCGAGCCAGAATCTGCTGAACCAAATCAGCATATCACCGAACCAAAATGGGTTGCCGAACCAACTCGGGCTTTCACCAAACCAGAACGGTCTGACAAATCAGTTCGGGACTTCACCGAACCAAAGTGGTCTACCGAACCAGCAGGAACAGTCCCTTTCCAGCAAGCACGCAGTCTGTAAGTTCCTCGGCCCTTTCCCCTTTGTCAATCCAGAAGCGGTTACAAAATTATCTACACAATCTAAACTCGCAGCTCTTATGAGAATTTTCATACTTGATTGCAGAATAGCCTGCCCATTGTAGTTATCCATTGCTCTTGTTCATTTTTCCTCATATTGTACTCTTCCGTCTCCCTCCTCTGCTTTCCGCATTCTTCCCTTTCTCCTCCTTCCTGTGCCCACAACCCCTCACCGCCCCCATCCCCACCGCAGGTCCCCCTGCGCCCCAACCTCCCCCCTGCGCGCCCCCATCAGTCCCGCCTCTGCTTTCCCTCTGCGGGAATCACCTCAACTCCGTTCACATACCTGCCCGAAATACTGCCCCGAATTCTGCCCCGGGCACAAAGAAATTCGTGCTCGTGGGGGCTCCAAACCCCCCAGCCGCCCCTCCTGCTGCTGCTGCCGCTGCTGCTGCTACTTCACCTTTTTCTCCGGGGAACCCTAATCCGACAACCGAAACACGGCCCCACGTTCCCCCTTCCCTTCTCGCTCCCCCTTCCCCGCTCGCTCCCCTTCCCCCACTTGCTTCCCCTCCCCCGCTTGCGGGAAAGCGGGTGATGCCACGTGGGCAAGCGCAAGCAATGGGGGGCGGCGGAAGAGGAGGCGGAGGAGGAGGAAGGGAGGACGAATTTGTGCATGAGTTTATGTTGAGGGCTAATAGCGAGACTCTCAGTGGGAGCACTCTGTCAGAAGGGCAGCAGCAGGAGCAGCAGCAGCAACAGCAGGAAGGGGAGGAGGAGGAAGAGCAGCAGCAGCAGCCGCAGGAGCATCAGCGGCAGCAGGAGGAGGAGGAGCAGCAGCAGCAGGTGCTGCAGGGATGTGACTATACGCAAGCGGCTGGGCATGCACATGGTGATTGTAACGAGCAAGGGGTTGCTACAGGGATGGAGTGTGCTTTTGCTGATAATACTGCTGCTGACCGTGCTGTTCCTGTTGGTGTTTCCATGCCGTTACAATCTGGTAACCGCTCAGCTGCTGGTGCGAATGGTCCGGGAGAAGCAGGAGCAGGAGCAGCAGCAGCGACAGAAGCAGGCGAAGGGATTGAAGCACAGGGAGGCCCGGTGTTCAGCTTTGGTTCGGGCCAAGTCTCGGAGCAAGGTCCGGCGCGAGGTTCGGAGGGAGGTTCGGAACAAGGGAAAGACCGGGAGCAGGAGCAGGGTGCAGGAGCAACTGAAGGGATACTAGAAATGCGAACGGTATCGCCTGGTGTGACTGTAAAGAATGTGACTGTAACGGGTGTGACAGGACACGGTGGGGCTACAAAAGGGGGTTGGAAGGAGGATTTTATAGTGAGTGGTTCGGAGCATGGCTTGTGGCTGTCGAGCCTGACAGATTTCCAAACCAAGAAGCTCGAGGAGTGGTTCGGCACGGACCTGAACCCGTCTCCGGAGCAGAGGGCGAGCGTCGGCAAGAGTCTCGGGCTGCTGCCACAGCAGGTACGCTCAAGCAACAACAGATTGAGTCCATATCTTTCTGCAACAACAGCAACGATCAGCAGCACATTTCCTCTCTCTCTTGTTCTCTCCCTCCTCCCCTTCTACTCCCCTTCCCCCCCCCCACCCTCTTCCCCACCTCCAGATCGCCTCCTGGTTGCATCACCGTCGCCTGCAGCACACAGTGCAGCAGCAGCAGGCAGAGCTCGAGTCCCTCCGATCAACCTTCTCCCTTTGTCAGTCCCAACAACGCATTTTGAGTGCCGATTTCTCTCTGTTTCCCCTCCTCATCTCCAGATCGCCTCCTGGTTGCATCACCGTCGCCTGCAGCACACAGTGCAGCAGCAGCAGGCAGAGCTCGAGTCCCTCCGATCAACCTTCTCCCTTTGTCAGTCCCAACAACGCATTTTGAGTGCCGATTTCTCTCTGTTTCCCCTCCTCATCTCCAGATCGCCTCCTGGTTGCATCACCGTCGCCTGCAGCACACAATGCAGCAGCAGCAGGCAGAGCTCGAGTCCCTCCGATCAACCTTCTCCCTTTGTCAGTCCCAACAACGCATTTTGAGTGCCGATTTCTCTCTGTTTCCCCTCCTCATCTCCAGATCGCCTCCTGGTTGCATCACCGTCGCCTGCAGCACACAATGCAGCAGCAGCAGGCAGAGCTCGAGTCCCTCCGATCAACCTTCTCCCTTTGTCAGTCCCAACAACGCATTTTGAGTGCCGATTTCTCTCTGTTTCCCCTCCTCATCTCCAGATCGCCTCCTGGTTGCATCACCGTCGCCTGCAGCACACAGTGCAGCAGCAGCAGGCAGAGCTCGAGTCCCTCCGATCGGCCTTCTCCCGCCTGCAAGCTTCAGCGAGTGGCATGAGCGGGGATTATGAGCTTCTTCAGGCGGACTATTTTGCTCTCTTGGACAAGAAGGAAGAGCTAACCAGCAAGGTGAGAAGGTGTAGAGCAGGTTGAGAAGCGGTGTAGTGCGGTGGAGTCCCTTTGATTGGCCTTCCCCCGCCTACAAGCATCCGCAAGTGGCATGAGCGGGGACTACGAGCTTCTGCAGGCTGACTATTTCGCTCTCTTGGACAAGAAGGAGGAACTCACATGCAAGGTGAGATACGGGGGGTGGTGTGGGATGACAAGGAGTGTGGTGCGGTGGAGTGGCATGAGCGGGTGTTATGAGCTTCTGCAAGCTGACTATTTCGCTCTCTTGGACAAGAAGGAAGAGCTAACCAGCAAGGTGAGAAGGTGTAAAGCGGGGTGAGAAGGGGTGTTGTGCGGTGGAGTCCCTCCGATCTGCCTTCTCCCGCCTACAAGCATCAGCAAGTGGCATTAGTGCGGACTATGAGCTGCTTCAAGCGGATTACCCCACTCTCCTGGATAAGGAGGAGCTAACCAGCAAGGTGAGGGGTGATAAGGGGTGCAGTGCGGTGGAGTGCGGACTATGAGCTGCTTCAAGGGGATTACCACACCCTCCTGGATAAGGAGGAGGAGGAGCTAACCAGCAAGGTGAGGGGTGATAAGGGGTCAAGGGAAGGGTGATAAGCAATCTACGTTTTTGTGATAAGCATCAGCAAGTGGCATGAGTGCGGACTATGAGCTGCTTCAAGCGGATTACCACACCCTCTTGGATGAGGAGCTAACCGGCAAGGTGAGACACAGGGCACCACAACGAGGGGTGATAAGGGTTAAAAGGAAGGGTGATAAGCAAGGTACGCCTTTGTGATAAGCATGCACAAGTGGCGTGAGCGCAGACTATGAGCTTCTCAAGGCACATTATCATGCGTCCCTGGATAAGGAGGAGGAGCTACCCTCCTTGGTATGTGATTGTGATGAGCATCCGCAAGTGGCATGAGCGGGGACTAGGAGCTACTCAAATTGAATTATAACGCGCAACTGGATAAGGAGGAGCTATCAGAGGGGTGATAAGGGGTGTAGGGCAGGGTGATAAGCAAGGTAGCCTGTATTGATAAGCGCATCCACGAGGAATAGGTGATTATAATCTTCTTTGGAATGATAATCTGGATTTTCCATACCAAACAAGTTCTTTGTGCTTGTGCGAAAGTTTCACACTTCAAGGAACAGACTGTGTAAGACATTTCATGCGCGTCCCGTCCTCTCCTCTCCCTTCACACCTCTCTCTCTCATCCCATCCCTCTATGCACCTCTTTGACCTGGTTCAGTTTAAAGTTTAACACTTTGAAGTTCGACACTTTTAAAGTCAAACCAAACACCTCCCTCTCGCCGTTTATTTCTTACTCCCATTTCCCCCTTTTCCTCTCCACCCTGCTACAGCTGTCTGACGTGGCATCCAGGCTGGCAGCAAAGCATCGTTCCTTGAGCTCGGGCAATCCAGGCAGTTCTGGGGGAGGCGTTTCCCAGACAGGTGTTTTTCGGGCAGCTTCTGCAGAAGCAGGTGTTGATCGGGCAGGTTGGAACCGGCCCGGTGCCTCTGCAGAGGAGGGACGAGCAAGGGTAGCAGTTGCAGCAACAGGAAAGAAAAACCTGGCTGGGGTTGGAGTGAGGAATTGGTCTGGAGGGGCACTGGGGACAATGATGGGTAATGGAGGTGACTATGCTGAATGTGCTACTATCGCGATCGCAGATGCTCCTTCAGACACAGCTGCTGTTTCTCCTGGCACTGCTGCTGCCAATGCTGCCGCTGCTGCCGCTGCGGCTACCACTGCTGCTGTTCCCGTTGCTGGTCATGGTGATGGTTCTGCAGCTGCTGTTGCTGCTGCTGGCACTGCTGCTTGTGTGGCAGAACACGGAAGAGAACTAGCAGGGAAGGGAGGAGATGAGGAGGGTGTGCAAGGATCCAAGAGTTTCCAAAACAGCAACCACGAAACGAGTATGGAGGAGACAGGGAGTGACAAGGAGAAGGAGGAGGCGAATGCTGATGCTTCACGTGCTGCTGGTGGTGTTGGTGCTGACGATTACGGCCGTATGGCTGGTGCTATGACTTTCGATAGTCAACTCAAGGCATGTGGAAGCATGACGTTCTTGCATCACCAGCCTTCTCAGCAGCAGCAGCAACAGCAGCAGCAGCAGCAGCACCAGCATCAGCATCAGCACGTCGATACCACAGCAGAAGCACAACCAGAAGCAGACGCTTGCGCAGCAGCAGCCGTGGCGGCTGCGGCAGAAGCAGCTGTGGAGTCCATGTGTACACCAGCATCAGCATTGGAATCAGCACCAGAACAATACACCACGTCCCTTTCACTGCAAATCCGCCCAGCTGCTACAGCTGCTGCCAACTCTGATGCTGCTGCTGCTGCCACTGCGGATGGCACTGCTGCTGGCAATGCTGATGCTGCCGCCACCACGCCTACTACTTTCTTCGTGTTTGGGTCGCTACAAAGCTCAGTCTCCCCCGGTTCATCCCCCACACTGGTCTCCCCATCGCCTCCCACCTCTTCCCACCACACTGAGTGCACTCCATCTCCTCCTCCTCCTGCTGCAAATCCTGGTTCCAGCCATCCTGATTCTTGGCACTTAGCTAAGAGACAGAGGGGACCATTTGACAGAACTTCTGTGGTAGAAGAAGCAGCAGAACCAGCTGCAGGATTCCCATCAGCAGCAGCAGGAGAAGCTTCAGGAGGGGTCACAGCAGCAGCAACGACAACACCAACTGCAGCAGCAGCAGCAGCAGCAGCAGCAACGACAACTCCAACTGCAGCAGCAGCAGCAGCAGCAGCAGCAGCAAGATCAATAGGGTCCCAAGAAACTCATGCATTCGTCCCTCCATCACTCTTCCCTCCCACCTCCCCTGTGACTTTTGAACGAGGGGGCATCTGGGCACAAGATACACCTGATACATCACCTGATACTGCTGGTAACATGCCTGTTACAATCACTGGTTCTGCGGTTACCAGTAACACCATGCTGCAGGAGAGTCTGAATGGTTCAGGGCCTGCTGATTGTGCCAGGGCTCCACCAGACCTGTTCCCCACGCTGGCTGGTAAGCCACCGAACCTGCTGCTCAGGTTTGGAGAACAGGAAGATGCCGAGCCTGGATTCTCCGGTATGGAGGCCCTTGGGGATCTCAACTCACCCCATAGGGTTTGGGACCACACTGAATGACTTGTGCTAGGGAGTACATTGCATGCTGCTTATGCTATTACTTAGTAGCTTATACAGTACAACTCTCCCCCCAACTCTTTACATGTGTTGATGTTTTGTTTCTCCCTGTTTTCCTATCTTTTAATAATGCATGGTTCAATAAAGCAGAACTTTGGTGTACTAGCTGCGACCTAGCTCCCCCGGACAAGATTACAGCAGAGGAACAAAAGTTTTGGGCGGCTGAAAGCATCACATTACCGTACATGGTCTTACCCTTTGTGTAGCACAAGATATATGAGCAGCAAATTCTAAACAGGTCCCAACCAAGTTGGTCATTGAGTGAAACATTGTGCCCTGCTGGCATCCTATCCCATACAGGTCTCCCTGCCCTGCAATGCAATAAAGAGGATGGCTAACTAAGCTCCTCAATAAACGCTTTACGAGCAGCTCTTCAAGCTCAGTTACACTCGCATACACTAATAGCCCTAGTCCTTCACCAGCTTTCAAGGACCACTGGCACGACCACTTACCTTACCTCACCAACTATTCCCTTCCCCCTCTCCCCCCCTCCCCACCCCCCCTTGACCCCTCTTTCAACCTAGATTCTCTCTACCTCCACTGGCGAATCTTAAGTCAGCCAAGTGAAGAAAGTCAATTAAAAAATCAACCATCTCCCATTTCTGTCTCCACTCTTTACCCTCCAGAAACGCTCGAAGAGCTTCTGTCTGCTTGTCAATAAACCTATTTCCTAACATGGCGCCTGGCATTCAGTAAAACGCCAGCGGACTCTGAGGCTTGTGCCAAATACCTACTTCGACCTTGCAATATCACCTACTGTTTGCTCCGTATCTAAGACAACTCACTTTCTCTCCCCAAAACCTAAGACACTACCACCAGCGGACCCAGAAACTGGAGCCTTGCATTATTACTTGGAGCTCCTATCGTCATCTTGCGATATGCAGCCCCTCTCCCATAATCATCTGACACTACCACTATCAGCGGACCCTGGAATTGGCGCCTGAGATTCGACTTGGAGCCCCCGTAGTCACCTACATCTAGGCGATATCTTGTGGGATGCCACTTCCTTTTTCTTTTTTTACTGAACCACTGACGCTACCAACCTCATCCGCTCCTCCTTATCAGGGCTTGCGCCAATCAGCTACTACCTTGACCTTCCATCGTCACTCAACGTCTGCGCGATGTCTTGCGGAATTCCACTTCTCTCCCCTACCCTTGACTCTCTAACGCTGCCAGCCCCATCCGCTCCCCCTTGCTTAGCCGCCTTCTTCTCCTCCATAAACGCCTTGAGCTCTTCTCGCTCCTTCTCACAGAGGCTGATGCCCTGAATGATATCCACCATGGCTCCTGTGGTACCGTAGAACACCAGCGGACCCAGGGACTTGCGCTTGATACCTATAGGGATGGAGATTAAACACCCCCCCAAGGTGAAAATCCAGGATCTGGGGACGGGAAAGACGCGAGAGGGAGGGGAAGGGGATCTGAGATCGGGTGATGTCCACCATGGCGCCTGTGGTGCCGTAGAACACCAGCGGACCCAGGGACTTGCGCTTGATACCAATAGGTATGGAGATTAAACACCCCCCGAGGGTGAAAATCCAGGATCTGGGAACGGGAGAGACGCGAACGGGAGGGGGAAGGGAAGCCGTCAATAGGAGAAAGAGGGTGCTACACAGCGTCTGCCTCTAAACGTCATCGCGGAGAAAGAGGCTGATCCCCTGAATGATGTCCATCGTGGCTCCTGTGGTTCCGTAGAACACCAGCGGGCTCAGGGACTTGCGCTTGATACCAATAGGTATGGAGATTAAACACCCCCCGAGGGTGAAAATCCAGGAGCTGGTGACGGAGAGACGCGAGAGGGAAGGGAAGAGAATTGGAGAGGAGGACTGAATCTAGAAGCAGAAAGATTTCGAATTTCGCGATCCGATCGATGGCCTGTACGTTACCAAATAGAAGTTATAGATTAGGAAAAACGGATAGATGGAGAACCAGGATCGTGACCAGAATAACCGAACGCGAGATCAGAACTTGGAGAGAAAAGGCTAAGGCTAGTTGTCTCAAAAAAATATGCTATCCATCGCATATACATTGTCGGTCGCGGTGCGACAACCTTACCTACTCAAAGCGCACTCTCCGAGAGCGTACTGCAGCTCCTTCTCCCTTTCTGCAGCGGTCGCCATGGCTAATGCAAGCCGATCATCCCAGGTAAATATTGCAAATCATCTGTCAGAACGGATTCAGATCATTCAACGATAAAATCCCAGGTTGCAGCTTGGCCAGACCAGATGCTCCAGGGCTTGAATTCGCATGTGAAAAAGATGATGCGATAAAGAATGTGCTGCTTTTAAAGCCGGCGGCCCAAATTGTTCATGCTTTTAAAAGTTGACCAGAGGGAGTTTTTCTGGTGTGGGCTTTGGCGAGAGTTTCCGATTTCGTCTAGGTTCGTTTTTTTCGCGAGACCCAGCCAACCCTCGGTTTTCCCCCTGGTGAGTGAATCTGTCTTCGAAAGTCCCAAATTGCAAGTGCGTGACTTTCAAAAGCTTGGACACTCAACTTCGTCAAGTTTTAAAAACTTGACCCTCGCGGCCCGCAATTTGGAACGCGGGCTTTAAGTTTGCGGCATATATTTGTGTACAAAGCTCATAGATTCCGACAGGAAAATCTCATAAAAAAAAGCTCGCCAGAGTCGTCGCAAATAGCCCCTCAATCTGCCTCCACCGACATCGCGAAATCATCGCTGAGACAAACGACGCCGTTGACCGACAAGTCGCAGGAGTGAGCCAGCTCATCCGCGACGAACGATTGGCGGAGCTGATGCTTTTGCGACTTCCGTTATGAGATATTCTGTAGGCTGACCAGCTGATTGGCTGGTTGTTTTGCCTTGCTGTTGGCTCCATGTCTGGTGTTGTTCTGCTAGTTACGAGATTCTCTAGGAAATCTCTAGAACGGTGGAGAGTGGAGGTCCATTGTTCTTCAGTCCTACTCTTCGCCACACACTTCTCTCTTCATCTGAAGTTCTTCACTCATTTCTCGCCGCACCTCAACCATTCGACTCTCTATCCATGAGGAATATTGTTCTTGCGTGAAGCGCATTGCTCTATTATCTGCTCTATATTTGTTCGAGCGCACTAGCATTTTCGAGCAGCTGAATTGCCGCGAGGTGTCGCTTCTCCAACTTAGCAGAACTGGTCTTTACATCGAGCACATATCCGTGCGTGTCCGCCTGTGAAGACGCTGTCGGATTTTTTTGTACGTCGAACGCATATCCGTCGAGAGTGTCGGTCTTCGGCTGCGAAGTCCTGATTCCTACTCACGAAGCTCTCATAGTTCCGTGAATAGACATATGGCATTCGAATTGTCATTGGTCACTTCAGATGTTAAAGCGAACCCGCTCTTATCGTCTGCAGCAGGAGAATCTGTGTCCACTGAAGATGGAACTGCATATATCCTTTGTCTGGACGAGGCGCTGCTCCATCGTATATGCAGAGTTCTGTCTTTGATGGATCTGATGTCTGTCCAGGGCACCTGCAAGGATCTCAACAACTTTGTCGTTCACGACCGTCACTTGTGGAAGAGGATTACCATCCCGAGGTCCCTCTCGGAAAAGCTGACTGACACCCGTCTCATGGTGTTGATAAAAAGAGCTCAAACAGAGCTTGAAGTTGTCGAGATCTATGGATCAAAACGGTTGACTGGAGCATTTCTTCTTGCAGACGGCATGAAGGAAAACAGGAAGCTGGAGAAGGTGAGCACCAATGCCTCTATTGTTTAGACTGTCTCGTTTGTGGTATTGTTCTAATTGCATTGCTCTCTTTATTGCAGCTTTGGCTTCTGGAGTGCCCGAAACTGTCAGGAGGAGCCTTGGTGTCACTGGTCGGTCATTTGGCAAAAGCATGCCACGAAGCAGGATCGGACCCAGTTTTAAAATCCATGCGATTGTCTGGTTCGACTAATGTCGAAGGCCGCCATGTTCGTTTGCTGGAGAAATTCAGGCTCGCTGAGACACTGGATGTTGCTCCGTGTCCACACTGTCCCAAGGCTGGTCATGTCATGATGTGTGGTGTGTACTCCATGCTTAATGGCGAGGGGGCTCCAGCGGACGTTCTGGGACATGCCATTGTTAGAGATGGGGAGATAGGTTGTGAAAACTGCCTGGTCCAGTGCTCCATTTGCCCCGAGTACTTCTGCAGAGCCCACCTTTTCCGGCTTAATGTAAGTGCGACTGCCTCTCACACAAGCACACAAGCACTTCAATGTCAACCTGTACTCATCCTTCCACTCTGCTTTTTGTTCTTGCAGTGCGGCCTTCAAGGAATTTGCTGCAAATGTTGCACTGAGCATTCTTGCAGCGTCTGTGACGCCTGAGTGCATGAAGAAGCAAGGAACTTTGCCAACCAACCTTGAACCTTTGCAACATTATACACCAGCAAGCAACAACTCTATGGGCATAACCTGTTCTTAGAATTGATTCTATGTTGCCAGTGGAGGTCTCAGCAAATTAATTTGCTTTACATGACACTGTTACAGACTAAGCAGACACTAAAAATGCGTCTGCAAGATGGTATCTGCATGCCCTAAGAAACCAGGACAACTCATGGTAGGACTACTGGCTAATCCTAGTTTAACCTAGTGTATCCTACTGTACCCTAACAGCTACGGGTTGACCAACCTAACCGAAATTAACGGATTTTTGGTCAGTTCCAGCAGCTACACAAGGTTGTTCCCCTGCATGCAGCTAGAGCAGAACTTTGCTGGCTATACTTGATCCTCAGCGACGGGTCTTAGAAGATCTGAATTCAGGGTCACTGAATGGTGATGGGGAGCCTGCAAAGAGACTATGCGACCCCGTGTCTTCTCGGAGGGTACCATTGATTATAGCCAACTCTCTTAGTTGTGCCAGTTTGAGGATGTCACAAGATTCATCCTGTACCACCATAACAAGGCGTTAGTCTTGGGAAACGTTTGAGAAGCAACAACGCAGACACGAATGGGATCACAACACTTACTACTGGTTTCAGAAGCTCCTCAAGAATTTCACAAGCTTGTGAAAGCTGAGCATCTACAATGTTTGCTGGAAGCTCAGCCTCCACAATGACGTGCAGTGGCTCATTCAGGTGCTCGTAACCTGGCTTGTTTCGCATCTTTTCTTCCTGCAAGACCGAGCGTGCCGCATGAGGACTTGGCCTGAAAAACGGAAGATGAAACAAGGAATCTGGAAATAGATCACCTACCTTAGTAGGGTCTTTGATGGATCCTCTGCCTCGGATAAGGACGCGGCAACCCGTTTGAGCCTCAACTCGCTTTAGCGAATTGCCTCGGGGCCCAAGAATTCGTCCAACAAAATTGAAGGTGGGATACTGATCCACTGGAACGTCAATCCTGCGGGCCTTTTTTAGAATTGGGGCAGCGCCGGGTTGAGGGGTCCAGCCTACCAGTGTCGTTGTTGTTGGTTGGTGAGCTGTTGGGGTTGCGAAAAGAGTCGAAGGCTGCAGAAACAGAGATCGCGAGAATTAGCGTATCGCTTGAGCTGAATTCAAAGTAACCATGACTTGCAAGCAAGGAAAAAGTTGGAGGGGATAATCGTACCCCGACTTCGTTCGGCATCGGAGACCATGTCTGTGCGTCAAACGGAGAAGGTCCAGGAGAGAATATGGGATGGGATATGGGCGAGGACGTCTCGGCGTGTTCATGGTCCATGTAAGTCGGAGAACCAACTATCGACGATAAACGCGCAATTTCTGAAACGAAAGCAACGGTGTTAGCAGATAACGTAACAGCTTATACAACGGCAGTAAATATCAGTATTTTGCCTAACCTTGGTCAAGCAACCGACCGCAATGCGGTAAAACTTGTCTGAAGGGAAGAAGCTTTTTCCGCTCAGCCAACAGGTCCGCGAGGTATCTGAACGAGCGAAAACAAGAGCCAGCACTTGATCAATAGCAGCAAGCACTTGATCAATACCGCAGGAAAGGGTATCATAAGCTCATAACTGTCAGATATAAAACGATCTCGAAGAAATGAACAAGCTAGTTAGCTGCTTACTGATGGTCGCCATCGCTGCTTGAAGGAGATGGGGTGTTTCTGACGAGTTGGGGAGATGCTGGAGCAGAGGAATAGCCAGCGAGAAACCTTCCATTCATGGTTCAGATTCTTAGAATTTGCTCTCAAGCTAAGAGGCTAATCGTCGATCGAGATGAGGCCAGAAGGGGTAGCAGCAGATTAGGTATCCAGAACTAAGGCATGGCTGATTAGCGAAAGTATGGTTGGTCCATGAATGCATGGTATGGTGGACACCAAAACAGAAGTTTCGTACCATTTTTGTAAGAGTTTGTTCCATCCCTGCTATCCCAACTGACATGGGGGGAGTGCATGGCGGAAGGTTGATGGTGCAGCATCCACCACAGTACAGACCATGGGGACCGATGGTTGCGGCGGGCTGCCCAGTATGGCAAAAGCATGGTTGGAGTGGATGGGGGATGGATCATGGCAGGCACACCAGTTTCTACACAGTTCTTCAACAACTGGATGCCCCTAATCATTTTGGTGAAAGTCGAGTGTCACAGGACAGCACCCCACTGCACCAGGGCGTGCCGAGGCGTTCCGCACAAGTGAAACAAGGCATTTCTTCTGTTCTAAACTTCTATATCACACAATTGTTTAGGGCCTAGAAGCAGAAACCACACTAGCTCAATATTGGTGGTACAATCGAGACAGCCACACCCTTCTTGGTACAGTCGCGACCAGCTTCTCGTACATTGAGTCTACAATGACCATACGTACAAAGCACCCCAACGCACATCATGCCCGAGACAAACTCATTTGGACGGTCAGCAGTTGTCCCATGACATGGAGGGCGTGGGGGGCTCGACATTGATGCAAGGGCAGCTATGCTTCAATCGAGTGACAACCGTCATGAAACTGCCCCCCCATCTACATGTTAGGGCCCTCAAATCAATAGAATATACTCCTTATTTAGATACACTCTTTTTACTCAAATCTTTTTCAGCCTACACGTCAGATGCTGAACCAATTCCTTCCATCCCAAATTTATGGTGTCAGCTGTGGAACATTTCAGCAAAGTTTAAAACTAAACAATAAAAACATTTCAGCATTTTTTCTTTTTGTTTAAACATGGTAGCTGAAGTGAAATCAATGCTGGTACAGAATTCCTAATTACTATAATTCGTGGCTGTCTTGATCCCTTGCTCACGGACTATTATTTGTTTGTGTAAACAATGCAATTCTTTCGTTCTCACTCCATTGCACCCAACACTGGCAAGCCAGTGCGGTGTTCCCACACTTTAATCCAGGTACCCAAATCAGAACCCACTACCGTATATGCTTGTATAAATTTCACCAATCTACAAGACACGATCCCGAAAGAGAGCTACACTGATTGATTTGTTTTTGCTGGAACCTGTGACTCATCATTCTTGAAATGCAGGCAGCAGAAACCAACTTGGTCCAGCACGAAATCAATTATGTACACCATAGAGAACAGTCCAATCACTATCGAGAAGGCAATGTAAGACCACTGTTGAGGAGGGACGAGTGGTAGGAAGGCATGGGAGAGGGAAGGAATTAGCTCCTGGCAACGTGGCTACATATGGTACCGGGTGCGAATTCTGAACCAAGTCATGAGTGGAAGAGCAAAGGTTGCAGGACCCTGAAAAAAATGGAATAAAAATATATGTTGGAAAGCTCACAGTGAGGTCGTAACCAAACGTGGAGGCGGCAAGATCGAACCCCAAGTATGTGTCTGCCCACGCGATCGCCACCACGACAATCCCAACCACCCAATGCAGGGCAAACCAGGATCGACGGCTGAGATGCTTCTGGAGCGGCTTGACCTGAGCCACGATTAGCTGCGCAACGATCAACACCATGACGGCCATTCCGAGCCGTCCGTGTGTGGAGTGCAATGATTGCGACCCTTTTTCCACAAATGCCATGATGATTCCAGTGAGGGCGAGGGTGACAGCTAGCAGAACAAGCCACCTGTGCAGCTTAAAGGCCAATGACTTGCTCACCCACTGCTTCCCCCACTGCTTCCTTGGGACTACCCTCCTTGCTCCGCCTGACACCCCGGCTCCGCCTGACCCCTCTGCTCCGCCTGACCCCTCTGCTCCGCCTGACCCCTCTGCTCCGCCTGACCCCTCTGCTCCGCCTGACCCCCCTGCTTCTCCTGACCCCCCTGCTGGACTGGCTACACCTATTCCCCCCGGTCCTCCAGGTCCCGCAGTTTCTGCTCCTGATGCTGCTCCGCTCACCGCCGCTGATGGCTTGGCATGGGAGGTAGAATCGAGAGCCGGCGCAGCTACTGCCTCCAAGCGGCCAAAAGGCTTGACTTCGCCCTTTGCTGCTCCTGCTTCTGCTCCGCTCACCGCCGCTGGTGGCCTGGCAAGGGAGGCAGAAGCGAGGGCCGGCGCAGCTACTGCTGCCGATTTCTGAGGCGCCTCAAAAACAGGCGCACCTACTGCTGTCAAGCGGCCGGGAGGCTTGCCTTCGGCCTCTGCTGCTTCTGTCCCACTGTGCCTCCCGCCAAGCTTTGGCTCCTCCCCCAACCCCCCTGCTGCCCCCGTGGCTGTAGCTTCTGCAGAGCTATTGCTAGCTGCGGTGTTTTGAGACGTCTCAAAAGTTGCTGCAGCAGGGCTGTTACTTGCCACGCCAGGGGTGGTATCAGGCATGAACAAGGGCTTATTCACTAGAAAGAGCCTCGATATAAGGATGGCGGAAGGCATGAGCAGGCCAAAGGCCAGTGCGAGCAGCCATGCATGGATGGTGTAGAGCGTGGCGCTCCCACTGCTCCACTCGCCCTCCTCTGATGCTCCTATGAAGAAGTTGACTCTAGCAGAGCCTCTGATAACGGGGATGGGGGAGGGAGGGGGGGAGGGAGGGGGGGGAGGGAGGGAGGGAGGGAGGGAGGGAGGGAGGGAGGAAGGGAGGGAGGGAGGGAGGGAGGGAGGGAGGGAGGGAGGGAGGGAGGGAGGGAGGGGTGGAAATGTGAGTGAGTAAGTACAACACCATGGGAATGTGGCATGTGAATACTGCTTGGGAATGATGCATAAGCAGTTTTGAAGGCGACTCACGCATTCGGCCCGCGGGTCGAGTCGACCAACCGCTGCGAGTTATCCGTTTTGAGATTTCTCAAAAGCGGATTCAACATGGGAGTGTGACTGGGGAGTGGACACATGGTGATGCAGGTGCGGCTTAGAAGCAGCTCTGCTCTGAAGGCAACTCACGCATTGGGCCCGTGGTAGGCTAACTGCTGCGAGTTATCCCGGGAGTAAGCCCAAAGGATGGTGCTGCTGCCACCGCCGCCGCCGTCGCCTCCGCTGCTGCTGCTCCTGCTGCTGCTGCCAGTGGCACCACCGTCACTCCCACTCGAACTCATGGGGAAATCTCCATCGCCCATCGACCGCTCAAACTTGATCGTCGTCCTCCCATTGGCCGATTCCACGGCCGTGTTGGTAACCGCAAACGAGCCCGTGGGCGTTACATCGCTCACAGCATACCCACTCATGTGGTATGCTCCCACTGCTGCCCCGGAGGGAAGGGTTCCTGGGGGAAGGTTGCCGATGGCTGCATCAGCAGGATACATTCGACCAGTGGCTGACCAGCCTAGCGACACCCACCCGCTCGTTGCTGCCTCCGCTGCCAGAGCGATGCTGCTGCTGCTAATGATCTTCCAGTGTAGGATGAAGCTGCAGGGAGGGATGGGGGGAGGGGAGGATTCGGGAGTATGCGTGATTGAGTATGCCCCACGCTGCATCACCAAGGGAAGGGTTCCTGGGGGGAGGTTTCCAATGGCTGCATCAGCAGGGTACATTCGGCCGTTGGCAGACCAGCCTAGCGACACCCACCCACTCGTTGCTGCCTCTGCTGCCAGTGCAATCCTGCTGCTGCTGCTGGTGGTCTTCCAGTGTAGGATGAAGCTGAGGGGATGGGGGTAGGCAGGGTAGGGAAGTATGCATGATTGGGTACCAGCCTAGCGATACCCACCCGCTTGTTGCTGCCTCTGCTGCTAGAGAGATGCGGCTGCCGCTGGTGGTGATGCTGGTCTTCCAGTGCAGGATGCCCCATGCTCCTAACCCCATGCTCCTAACCCCATGCTCCTAACCCCATGCTCCTAACCCCATGCTCCTAACCCCATGCTCCTAACCCCATGCTCCTAACCCCATGCTCCTAACCCCATGCTGCTAACCCCATGCTCCTAACCCCATGCTGCTAACCCCATGCTCCTAACCCCATGCTCCTAACCCCATGCTCCTAACCCCATGCTCCTAACCCCATGCTCCTAACCCCATGCTCCTAACCCCATGCTGCTAACCCCATGCTCCTAACCCCATGCTCCTAACCCCATGCTCCTAACCCCATGCTCCTAACCCCATGCTCCTAACCCCATGCTCCTAACCCCATGCTCCTAACCCCATGCTCCTAACCCCATGCTCCTAACCCCATGCTGCTAACCCCATGCTCCTAACCCCATGCTCCTAACCCCATGCTCCTAACCCCATGCTCCTAACCCCATGCTCCTAACCCCATGCTCCTAACCCCATGCTCCTAACCCCATGCTCCTAACCCCATGCTCCTAACCCCATGCTCCTAACCCCATGCTCCTAACCCCATGCTCCTAACCCCATGCTCCTAACCCCATGCTCCTAACCCCATGCTCCTAACCCCATGCTCCTAACCCCATGCTCCTAACCCCATGCTCCTAACCCCATGCTCCTAACCCCATGCTCCTAACCCCATGCTCCTAACCCCATGCTCCTAACCCCATGCTCCTAACCCCATGCTCCTAACCCCATGCTCCTAACCCCATGCTCCTAACCCCATGCTCCTAACCCCATGCTCCTAACCCCATGCTCCTAACCCCATGCTCCTAACCCCATGCTCCTAACCCCATGCTCCTAACCCCATGCTCCTAACCCCATGCTCCTAACCCCATGCTCCTAACCCCATGCTCCTAACCCCATGCTCCTAACCCCATGCTCCTAACCCCATGCTCCTAACCCCATGCTCCTAACCCCATGCTCCTAACCCCATGCTCCTAACCCCATGCTCCTAACCCCATGCTCCTAACCCCATGCTCCTAACCCCATGCTCCTAACCCCATGCTCCTAACCCCATGCTCCTAACCCCATGCTCCTAACCCCATGCTCCTAACCCCATGCTCCTAACCCCATGCTCCTAACCCCATGCTCCTAACCCCATGCTCCTAACCCCATGCTCCTAACCCCATGCTCCTAACCCCATGCTCCTAACCCCATGCTCCTAACCCCATGCTCCTAACCCCATGCTCCTAACCCCATGCTCCTAACCCCATGCTCCTAACCCCATGCTCCTAACCCCATGCTCCTAACCCCATGCTCCTAACCCCATGCTCCTAACCCCATGCTCCTAACCCCATGCTCCTAACCCCATGCTCCTAACCCCATGCTCCTAACCCCATGCTCCTAACCCCATGCTCCTAACCCCATGCTGCTAACCCCATGCTCCTAACCCCATGCTCCTAACCCCATGCTCCTAACCCCATGCTCCTAACCCCATGCTCCTAACCCCATGCTCCTAACCCCATGCTCCTAACCCCATGCTCCTAACCCCATGCTCCTAACCCCATGCTCCTAACCCCATGCTCCTAACCCCATGCTCCTAACCCATGCTCCTAACCCATGCTCCTAACCCCATGCTCCTAACCCATGCTCCTAACCCCATGCTCCTAACCCCATGCTCCTAACCCCATGCTCCTAACCCCATGCTCCTAACCCCATGCTCCTAACCCCATGCTCCTAACCCCATGCTCCTAACCCCATGCTCCTAACCCCATGCTCCTAACCCCATGCTCCTAACCCCATGCTCCTAACCCCATGCTCCTAACCCCATGCTCCTAACCCCATGCTCCTAACCCCATGCTCCTAACCCCATGCTCCTAACCCCATGCTCCTAACCCCATGCTCCTAACCCCATGCTCCTAACCCCATGCTGCCTAACCCCATGCTCCTAACCCCATGCTCCTAACCCCATGCTCCTAACCCCATGCTCCTAACCCCATGCTCCTAACCCCATGCTCCTAACCCCATGCTCCTAACCCCATGCTCCTAACCCCATGCTCCTAACCCCATGCTCCTAACCCCATGCTCCTAACCCCATGCTCCTAACCCCATGCTCCTAACCCCATGCTCCTAACCCCATGCTCCTAACCCCATGCTCCTAACCCCATGCTCCTAACCCCATGCTCCTAACCCCATGCTCCTAACCCCATGCTCCTAACCCCATGCTCCTAACCCCATGCTCCTAACCCCATGCTCCTAACCATGCTCTAACCCCATGCTCCTAACCCCATGCTGCTAACCCCATGCTCCTAACCCCATGCTGCTAACCCCATGCTCCTAACCCCATGCTCCTAACCCCATGCTCCTAACCCCATGCTCCTAACCCCATGCTCCTAACCCCATGCTCCTAACCCCATGCTGCTAACCCCATGCTCCTAACCCCATGCTCCTAACCCCATGCTCCTAACCCCATGCTCCTAACCCCATGCTCCTAACCCCATGCTCCTAACCCCATGCTCCTAACCCCATGCTCCTAACCCCATGCTCCTAACCCCATGCTCCTAACCCCATGCTCCTAACCCCATGCTCCTAACCCCATGCTCCTAACCCCATGCTCCTAACCCCATGCTCCTAACCCCATGCTCCTAACCCCATGCTCCTAACCCCATGCTCCTAACCCCATGCTCCTAACGCCATGCTCCTAACCCCATGCTCCTAACCCCATGCTCCTAACCCCATGCTGCTAACCCCATGCTCCTAACCCCATGCTCCTAACCCCATGCTGCTAACCCCATGCTCCTAACCCCATGCTCCTAACCCCATGCTCCTAACCCCATGCTCCTAACCCCATGCTCCTAACCCCATGCTCCTAACCCCATGCTCCTAACCCCATGCTCCTAACCCCATGCTCCTAACCCCATGCTCCTAACCCCATGCTCCTAACCCCATGCTCCTAACCCCATGCTCCTAACCCCATGCTCCTAACCCCATGCTCCTAACCCCATGCTCCTAACCCCATGCTCCTAACCCCATGCTCCTAACCCCATGCTCCTAACCCCATGCTCCTAACCCCATGCTGCTAACCCCATGCTCCTAACCCCATGCTCCTAACCCCCTGCTCCTAACCCCATGCTCCTAACCCCATGCTCCTAACCCCATGCTCCTAAACCCACGCTCCTAATTCCATGCTCCACGCCCCGTGCTCCATGCCCCAAGCCCCGTGCTCCATGCACCATGCATCCTTCCTCCCCCCCATGCCACATCGCCCTGACTCAAGAGCTGCACTCGCTCCACATGGCCCTGAGCACTCACTTGTCGCCACTGAGTTGCACCATGCAATCGTATCTGGGCAGGGAAGATACCCAGATATGATGTCTCATCACTCAGACCCTAACTCATCCTTCCTCACCTCGCCCTGAGAGGTGGGAACTCACTTGTCGCCACTGAGTTGCACCATGCAATCATATCCGGGCAGGGAAGATGCCGTGCAGGCACTACTGCTTTTGAGATGTCTCATCACTCAGACCACTAACTCATCCTTCCTCACCTCGCCCTGAGAGGTGGGCACTCACTTGTCGCCACTGAGTTGCACCATGCAATCATATCCGGGCAGGGAAGATGCCGTGCAGGCACTACTGCTTTTGAGATGTCTCATCACTCAGACCACTAACTCATCCTTCCTCACCTCGCCCTGAGAGGTGGGAACTCACTTGTCGCCACTGAGTTGCACCATGCAATCATATCCGGGCAGGGAAGATGCCGTGCAGGCACTACTTCTTTTGAGATGTCTCATCACTCAGACCACTAACTCATCCTTCCTCACCTCGCCCTGAGAGGTGGGAACTCACTTGTCACCACTGAGTTGCACCATGCAATCATATCCGGGCAGGGAAGATGCCGTGCAGGCACTACTGCTTTTGAGATGTCTCATCACTCAGACCACTAACTCATCCTTCCTCACCTCGCCCTGAGAGGTGGGCACTCACTTGTCGCCACTGAGTTGCACCATGCAATCATATCCGGACAGGGACGACGCCGTGCAGGCACTGCTGCTGCTGCTGCCGCTGTTTGATGCTGTTGCTGACGTGGCAGACAGTGATTGGCTGTTCGTGCTATGTGGTGATGAAGAGGTGTTGCCGGCAGCAGCAGCAGTGGAGCAAGTGAAATCCACTTTCAGTGCGCCGCTGAGCACATGTGACAAAAACGGGGTTGACAGTAACGGAGAGGTATGGGGTGAGTGATGACAGGCCAAAGGAGGGAGGGAGAGAGAGAGAGAGAGAGAGAGCGAGCAAGAGGAGCTATTTGGCAAGGAAAGGAGGTGGAAAGGTGAAAATGTTGAAAAAGGTTGAAAGGCTGAAACGTTCTCGAGTGGAACCATTAGCAAAAATATTGAGTGAATTTCCACTCTGCTTATATCGTGTAACCGTGCGGTAACCAGCAGATGTGTACCAATGTTTGGACTCACTCGTTATGTTTGTGGTAGTCCAGTGCCTGCGTGCCAGAACCCGAAAACGCCCACACGAGGGTGTTTACCCCAGAAAATCTCACAGGGACTATTCCCCCACCCCCTTCCGTTCGGGTGAACTTCACAATAGTCGCTCCACTACTAGTGGACTCAGTACTTGCTTCAGTGACCGAAAAGTTTCTGGTAACTGTAACATCCGATATCCGGTAACCAGTCATGGAGTACGCAGCGACCTTCCTTCCTGGAAGGTTCCCGATGACTGCATCAGCGGGCACCATCCGACCGTCCGTTGACCAGCCGATGGAGATCCAACCGCTCTCAGCCCCGCTGCCCTGCTGTGCCTCTAACGCCAGGCGCAGCTTCGCCCTTCCCCCCTTACTAGCACTGCTGTTAAGGTCACTGCTGCTGCTGGGGGTGCTGCTGCTGCTGCTGGTGCGGTTCGGGGTGGTTGACGTGCCATTAACGAGCGTCCAGTGGAGGAGGAACCCTTTCGTTATAGTCACAGAGTGCTTGTAACCCGAGAGGGATGAAGCCTGGCATGCCAACGGTCCAGAGGGAGATCCCCTGAAAGAGAAGGATTCAACTCCTCTTTTTCCTCTTTCAACTCTTCCCCCATGATGCTGGGTGGTCGTGCTGCTGTTGGTGGTGCTGTTGGCGGTGCTGCCACTCGGGAAACGGAAAAAGTAGTAGTGGAGTCGGGGAAACTGAGCGTTGATCATCAACACTGCTGGTAGTACTATTAATACATAGTTTTTGTTGAAGCGCAACCGGGATTCGGGGACAAGTTGAAGGGCCGGAACAGAAAGAAATCAGCTTTCACAAAGGATTTCGTCACCTACCAGTTACCCGAGAGGTCGACGGAGCTGGCGAATCCCGTTCGCGAAGAGCTCTTGCACGACGTCGCCGCCCATGCTACACCGCAAGATGAAAGCACAGTTAGAACGAAGAAAAAAACAGGGATGAAATTGAAGATTCGCCGCAGCATCACCATGGCGGAGAGGCTGGAAACCCGCATTTGCTCTAACCAAACAATGCAACCGTAACGCTCGGTTCTGACAAAGCCGTGCAAGAGTGTGAGGACAGAGAGTACTCACAAGAACCAGTGTCGACACTGACTGCACTCTGTGGGAGGCTTCAAAAGAGAGGTGGAATTCGGCGAGAGGAATTAGGCTCGGGGAAATTGCTCGTGTGGATTTGCTGAATATTATATTTCGCGACTCGGGGTACGGAGGGGCTGACTTGGGTTGAGGGGTGCTTTTGATCGGTGCCCGTCATCCCAATCTGGCGTCGCTGGCGCTTGCCTTCTGCGGTGGATTTCAATCTGGCAGCGCGAGAAACGGAGAGGGTTTTTCAGACGCATGCGCGTGACGGATCAGCGCATGCAGAGGTTTCTCATCATGCGGTGAAACCTCCTCTGCATGTTACCGTCCTTTGCTCTCCCAGCGGGCTACATCGTGTCGTGGGCTAAAGCCATATGCTGAGAAAAGGTGTTCTACAAGGGAAGCACAGAACCACATGCGAGAACCAAATAGTGTACCGTTGTAAGGAATTTTCTCGGCATTCCTTACGGAGCCCGACTACATCGCGTACAGCAACAGCCGTTGTTCGCCCGTTACTGCTAACGGGACTTCGCCAACTTCGCGCGCACTGTTTTGCCAAACCTCGCACTGCTGGCCCGGCCGTGTCGGCCTACGCTCCGGGACTAGCCCGAGCCTCGCTGCCAGCATAGCACTAGCTAGCTCGCACGCAACGCGTTACCGTTTGCATGTTTCGCGTATAAATGTTCGCTCATGCCTTCGCTCACATCTTTGTACTCGTTTGACACCTTAGTGCAATTCTCGGAACTTCGATTCATTGCACCCGTAACACTTGGTATCAGAGCCCCTTTCTTTCGGACCGCGCATCTCCGCACCCCAGGAAATCAACTTTTGATTTTTCACTCGAAGGGACTCACGTACCTTAGCACCTAGGAGCCGCTGTCCTCGCGTTCTCTCGAAAACGCGTGCAGCCACGACTGCGCCTAGACTAAGACGAGCCGACGCCCTTCGAAATGGCTGAACATATCGACGTCACGACTCTCACGCAGGAGCACTTGAACGATCTGCTGCGACAAATCCGCGAGAGCGCCGAGGAAATCGCGACGCTGACGGCAGAACGCTCGTCCCTGCAAAACGACCTCACGCGAGCACAATCCCAAGCACCTGGCACTCCGATTCAGCCCGCACCACAAACATCACAGCACGGAAGTGTGGGGCAACCCGCGAGCGCCGCAAGTGATGGCGTCGTCCGCCATGACGGAGACGACGACCACGGCACGACACACCCCGACGCGACGAATGCGGCCAGTACTCAGCCTCAAGTCACGATTTCAGTGCCGGCCGGCGGATCAACTCTTCCGTCGCCGATGCCGCTAAAGCCGCAGCGTCCGCCATGCTTTGACCCAAGTCAGCGGGGTGGTCCTACCGTTCAGGCGTGGCTCTTCACGTTGAACGTTTTCTTCGACGCGAACTACGTCTCGGAGGATACGGCGAAGATTCGTTACGCCGTGTCGTTGCTGCGAGGACCCGCCATGGACTGGTGGCGCGTCGTCGTCACGAAGCCGGCGGACTACGCGACTCTACCGACAAGGGAAGGACAAACCGGACCCTGGGCGCCGTCGTATTTCGTGGAGGTGCCCCAGTATCGCACGTGGGACGCGTGGTGCGCAGGTCTGCGCGCTCGTTTCGAGCCAATCGCGGCTTCGATCGCGGCGCGACAGAAGCTCCGCACTTGGCGCCAACTCGGTTCCGTCCAAGACTACACGAGCGGATTTCTGGCGCTATGCGAGCAGGTGGGATATATGCACGAGAGCGAGCGCATCGACCGCTACATCGGCGGCCTGAAGCAGGACATCGCTAAGGAAATCCAGCTTCGCGGCGTCACCGACTTTCAAGAAATTCTCGCCATGGCGGAGAAACTTGATTTCTTCCGCCGACCGAGACCGGGGTCCTACGGAAGCAGCCATTGGGGACATCGGCCTCGTGGGACGAACGAGGGCACCACGATACGTGCCGTCGCCGCAAATGCCGCTGCCGCACCGTTCAAAGGGCGCTGCTTTGCGTGCAATCGGCCGGGACATCGCAAGAGCGAATGCCCGGAAAACGCTAAGGGAAAGGGGGAAGCTGAGCAGCAGAAGCAGACCAAGCAGCAGGGAAACGCTGGGAGTCAGTAGCAGACGGGCCCTCTACTGACAGGTCACGCCGCTCGCCCGACCGAACCGACCCTCACCGAGTGATTGTGCCGGTTCACGCAATCGACCACGCCCGGCCGAATAAGGAGGGTACTACGGTAGACAGCCCCATACTGCTTAGTGGGAAAATTGGGACGGACTTAGTAAAAATCTTCGTAGATGGGGGAGCCAGCCACAACCTCATCAACACTGCCACAGCACGAAAACTGCGACTGCCACTCGACAGATGTTTACCTGAGATCGACGCAAGACTGGTAGACGGCACGCCGCTGGTGATACGGGAACGCATAGACCGGGTTCGGATTCGATGTGGGGGTAACTTCACGTTTAGCCAGGAAATGCTCGCAACAACCCTCGACGGAACCGACATTTTATTCGGGCGTGATTGGCTGCGACGACACAATCCGCGAATCGACTGGACGACGGGTGACTGCACCGTACGAGTGAACGGTAGCAACATCGCCTTACCTCGCTGGGGCTCGCCTGAGTCTTCGTCGGTGCGTGTCAACGCGATCACGATGAAACGCGCCGTAGCAGCAGGAGCTGACGTGTACGCGGTTGACATTCGTGAAGCCGAGGCAGCAGACAAAGGAGGGGATTTACAGAAACTGCTGGCCGACGTACCGAGTGATCTGGCAGCACTGTTGAAGCAGTACAGCGACATTTTCACGGACGATTTACCGACGGGACTGCCACCTCAGCGACCGCACGACCACAGGATAGAGTTAGAACCGGGGGCACAGCCAACAGTACAGCGACAGTTCCGACTGACCCAGCCCGAACTGGACGAACTGAGGAAGCAGCTCGATTACCTGCTCGAGAAGGAGTTCATTCGCCCTAGTTCGTCGCCCTTCGCAGCACCGATACTGTTCACACCGAAAAAAGACGGGGGATTTCGCATGTGCATAGATTACAGAGCACTGAACAGGGTTACCATCAAATCCCGTTACCCCATCCCGCGAGCTAACGAACTGATCGACCAACTGCGCACAGCCTGGGTTTTCTCGAAAATCGACCTCCGAGGGGGTTGAGGAAAGGAGAAAGCGGATGAATGAACTATGAATGAAGTGAGTACATATAGGAAACCCTAATTGGGTTGTACCCCCTATGGGATACCCCACTATAGCCTACACAACAGCATAAGCTATATATATGTTCTGACACACCCCCATAGGCAAAGTGGGGGAGAACAAGGGGTCACAAGACCAGTCACACAAAGCACAGCAAGCTCAGGGTGGATCACAAAGTCACCACACAGTCCGAGCACAACGACAAGGCCACAAGGCCAGTTCACATGCAGGAGTGCACACATATATATATAGAGCTAGACAAGCAAGAGCAGGTATATATATGTGACAGTACAAGCAAGGTCAAGAGGAGAGCAAGTGAGGCAAGACAGGTACAAGACCCAGCTGAGTGCAGAAGCGCTGATGGTCACAAGGCGCAAGTGCCTTGGTGAACACATCAGCAGTGTTGGCCTCAGAGGCCACGTACGCAAGTCGCAACTGACCACGTTGCTGCAGCTCACGAGCAAGAAAGTAACGGAGAGCAATGTGCTTCGTTCTGTGCTCCAAGCGCTGCTCTCGACACAAGGCCAGCATGGCCTTGTTGTCTACGTACAGCACTGGAGGAGAACGAGGCGGCTCTCCAAGGTCAGTCAGCAGGTAGGTGAGCCAGCGAAGCTCCTGTGCAGCCATGGCCCCGGCGTAGATCTCAGCCTCACAACTGAAGCCGAGAACAGAGGACGAGCGTGTAGCCCGCCACGAGACAGAGCCGGAACCAAGACTGAAGGTGTAACCCTGCGACGACCGCTGCGTAGCCTGGTCGTCAGCCCAAGAAGCGTCCGCGTGCCCAGTGAGGACCACTGGACTCCGCCCTCCAAGCACTAGCCCCATGCCCGACGTACTGCACAAGTAGCGCAACACCCTCTTCGCTGCAGCCATGTGCTCTGGTCGGTGTCTCCCAGGAGCAACATAGCGTGCAAGAATGCTAAGAGGGTATGCAAGGTCAGGTCGTGTGCAGGTCATCAGGTACATGAGGCAACCAACAAGCTCTGGGTACGGGCCACTCGACTCTACGGACTCATCCGAAGGCAGAGCTGAGAGCGAGTGGCGAGTAGACAGAGGAGTGGCCTGAGGCGAGGAGTACGTGAAGCCGAAGCGCTGAAGGACCTGCTGCACCATGTGTGACTGAGTCAAGGTAATGGTGCAGCGTGCTCTGTCCCGAGTGATCTGCAAGCCAAGGTAGCTGCGCAGTTCACCCAGGTCTGTGCACGTGTGTCTCTTCTGCAGCTCGGACTTCACGTAGGCTAGTCCAGCAGTATCAGCTGTGGCAAAGACCAAGTCGTCGACGTACACGAGGATGTAGAACGGCGGCAAAGAAGTGTCGGTGCGCAGAAACAACGACGGGTCAGCAGTAGAGGGAGCAAACCCAAGAGCCGCAAGCGTAGTCCTCAGTGTGTCGTGCCACTCACGCGGTGCCTGGCGGAGACCGTAGACTGGCCGTCGGAGGCTCCACTGGGTGCCAGGAGGGAAAGTCCCAGTGAAGCCAGGTGGACGGCGCAGCCAGATCTCCTCGTGCAGGCTACCCTGCAAGAAAGCAGTGCTGAAGTCAAGAGAGTGGAGCTCGTAGTCGCGCTGAGCGGCTATGTGCAGTAGCACCCGAAGAGTGGTCATCTTCGGGG